ATTTATCAAATAAATGTAAAATGAACAAGCATATTCATTTAAAGAAAACATGACATTATTTTAGTAATTAACTTATCCATGTATATGCACTTATATAAATTGCACAAGTGCAAATATATGTACACAGTGAAAGGAGAAAGTTGAAAGGGAGAGAATGTGTGCGAGAGAGAAAAAACATAAATCAAGCCCCATGAAGAGCTGCTGTGTGGATGTGAAGCTCATAGGCTGGAGAGATATTTTTGGATTTTATTTTTCACTGCGAATGTGTGGCTCTTACAATGAACAAGAGGAAAACACATTTAAAAATAAGGGGGAATGAGAGTGGATCAATAGCAGAGACTGGGGACTGAAATGACTCAAAGAGCTTTTACCACGCTTTACAACCTCAAGTTACCGACTTCTCAAGTTCTATCCAAGGTTCAGCTGAGGAAAACACCTGTGGAGAAAATATACTTTATCCTTTTTGCAGTTTCATCCTTGAATCAAACCAGGCCATCTGGAAGCTGTGTTCTTACCGATGTCCAGACCCTGAGAACTTCCTCTACCAAGTTCTCTCTGGGATCTCACTTTTGGGCTGCTCACCCAAAGCTGAACACAATCCTGGATGACCTGTGTGATGTTTATGGCAGTGGGGTTGAGGAGTTGTCCTCTTGATTACCTATGCAAGGCTTCCTTGAAACTCAAGTGACAAAACTTCTTCAGCACTTAAGGCAGGGATGTGTAGTGTCATTATGGACAATGTAAACCATATTGCTAATTTTATTTCCTGTTTTGTATAGTTATCAAGAGACTGAGCAACTTGAAATTCTACATTCACAAGTGATTAGGATCCTTGACTTGAATGTTTATTTTACAATTTACCCAAGACATGTTTTATATTATACATAAATATGTATGTATCCGATTCTACTTTTATATATTTATATATATTTTCCAATTTTAAGTTTTCATTCATACATATTGGATCCCATCATGTGGGATCTTATGTGTCACCTATAACCTGGAAGAAAACCAAGTAGATTTTTTTAAACGGTTAGAATTTCATCATTCAAAAGTGATAAATGAAGCCACAGACCTGGATGAGATTACTTGGGAGCAGAAAACAAATAAAGAAAAAAAGTCCAGAACTTGACCTTGTGGAATCTATGTGTTTAAACATTACTTCCAAATGGAATTAGGCCATGCAAACATGAAAGAGAAGCCAAGGAGGAAGGCAGAAAAGCTGGAAGCCGAGAGGAGAGGCTGGTGGGCAGAAGTTCCCACGCAGAAGCTGCCAGGGGGGCAAAAAATGTCAGGGATTGAAATGTCCACTGGCTTTGACATCAGGGCTTTGGGGGCAGAGTGTTGAGAAGTCAGATTGGAGCAGTTTAAGGAGCAAATAGCAGGTGAGGAAATGAAAATACTGAGTGTATAGAACTGATAATTTTATGCTTGTTAGGTATTAATATTTCTTCTTTCACAAACCTTTTGTTGATGTCATTCTTACATGGGGGCTTTATCATTTCCTGAGTGTATAAGGATGTGTTATGATGTCTTTCTTAACACCATGCCTGTTAAAACACTGCAGATTCTTTTCAGACCAGTTTTCCTGTTGTTAACATAACCCTGATATCAACTGGGGTTCTGCTGTTTATAAAAGAGCTACCTTGACTTCATCCATTCAACTAATATACATTTCTTGCCTTCAGGAGTAATTGTAGAAGAACCCACACTATGATTTTGATAGAACTTTCATAGTTCACTGCAGCAGTTATTTTAGTGAATACAAAGACAGTACTTTTAAGTTCTTGAATAGAAACAAAGTGACCCAAATGTTTATTATGTTTCCTAAAAGTACTATTTCTCCAAATATAGCTGTAATTACTACTTTGTCATAATACCAAGATAGACAGTAGCTGATCTCAGGCTAACCTCATCACACTCAGCACTTGGACCAAATAAGGAGTCAAGAATGAGTGTGGCTTTCATCAGGAGCAGACAATGACTTTCCCCACAATCCATGAGACCATGCAGGATGTTCAGCACAGTGATAAGTGATTTCTCAAACGTTTACCAAAGCATCTGAATCTACAACATTTAGATAATCTGTTACTTAATCAAGACATCACTACTTTCCATGAGTGTATTTTTGCTATTTGTGCACAGTCTATTATAAAAATCCCTCCCAAGAGGGTCTATGAATAGATTGCATAAATCAGTTTTATGAAATAGAAGATTTCTAACAAAATTATGAAAAGAGACTCATGTATATGATACTCTTATTTATTTGGCTAAAAACTATTTCTTAGTTCAATTAAATATTCTTTTCAACAATTACCCTGTTAGATGTGAGCATTAGTTTAATATTCTCCAATTATAAGGCACAGGTGTACATTAAGGGAATAATGCCTAATCAAGTATAACATTTCAGAGAGTCTAGGAGGCTTGTAAGCACTTTGCTGCAGCTGAAGGAAAGCAAATGTGCCCAAGCCAAAGCTGAAGACTTTTCTCTTTTCTTGTTCCCACACCCAGGGGATGTTTTGATTTTCAGCAGAGAACTGGAGTGTATTAAATATAATTTTCATTTAGACCGGGATAATACAATTCAATTTATATTAAATGAGGATGGAGAACACTTTTATTAAATAACCAAAGTGTTCACACTATAGTCTACATGATCTACTCCTTTATTAATGAGAATTGGTCAGGGCTATTTAATATTTATAGTTATTTCAATAAAGTATCAGTTTCTAGAAAAAGTATTTCTATGAGTACACACTGTTAACTGTGTTCTCAGCCAGCTGAAGCAGCAAGTCCACGTTACTATAACCTGAGGCATCACGACTCACATGTCATTTCAGAGGGGTTAATCTTGAAAATTGTTACCTACGCAATGACTACAATCCCACAGGGTCAGTTCCTGATCCACGTGCAAAAAGATTCCAGTGCAGAAAGATTTCTTGGACTGGCCCACAACTGAGGATTTAGTAAATGTCTTGTTTATATAGTTTTTGATTCTCAAAGTAATCTTAAAAATGTTTATCTCCACTTCAGTATTTCTTTTTATTAATTTTTTGATGAAAAGTATTCAAAATCATAATTTTAAAGGAGATTTTCCATATCCTTCAGATTTTACAACAAATTTTATCCTGTATCAATTTTGTGCAGTTTTACTGTTTTCTATTGAAAAAAAAAAGAAAGGAATAAATAGGAAAGTCTATATTAATTAAAACCAGTGAATATAATGAAATAGGACTGCATTATCAGTTAAAATAGTAACAAAACCATTTCAGAAATGTCGGCAGGAAGATATTAGAAAACTAATCTTTTTTTCCCCTCAGAACTGAAATACAAGTTTTACACACACTAAAATTCCCATCAGATTTTATTTGCCTCCTTAGCGCATCAAGGACATTGTGAGCATTTTTATCATATCCCAACACCTCTCCCCCGAATCACAACAGTAAACAGACACATATGCACTTTCAGGAAATTCCAAAGGGAAAAAAAAACCTAGACAAAGAAACGACAGTAGAAAAGGAAGGTGTGTAAACCAAAGGAACATTCACTTTCATCCTGGAGAAGCAAGAGTTGTGGCAACGTCCAGGAAGGGAGGCTGATCTGGAGGGCACAGCCTCAGGAATCCCCAGCAGGAGTGCAAGGCTGACTTCATGGAAGACCAGCGAAGAGGGGGAAGGGAAGACAAAGTGTGCAAAAGTGTGACTTTGAGTTTATGCATCCCACTTATGGAGATCTGACTGCTTGTCTTGCAATTTAACCCTCTTATGGCTTATGCCATTAAAATCGTTTCCACAGAATTGTTATTAACACCCCTGTGTTCACTGTCGCCAAACAGTAAACATAGAGCATTAACTATTGGAAAAAAACCCAAACCCTTGTTTTTTAAAAATTTTTCTCATAATGGCAGTTGGATGTAACAATAATTAATATTTAGCCTAATTTCATTTTTCAGCGGGTTTGCTCATGGGAGAAAGCCCCCTTTCACAGATGAGAGCGCTGAGGCAGTGTGTGGGTGTGAGGGACCGGTCTGCAACCTCCTGCCCTGTCCTTCCCGAAGAAGTCTGGAATCTGTTTCCTGGGTTCACTGCACCGGAAAGCTGAGCTTTCAGCAACAGGCAGGGATTCACCCTGCCTCCCCACAATGCCCAGGGGAAGAAAACAAGTGCTTATGCACTTTATAAACGAACACGGGAGCCTACATGAGGCTCTCTCAGCTTTTAATTGCTTAGGCTTCTCAGAATTTCCAGTGCAGCTGGGGAACGCTCTGAAAAATTACTTTAAACAGGTGTAAAGTAGTGAGTCTCATTTGAAAAATCACTTCATTCTTTGCGCTTAGTGTTGCTCATCTTTGCTTCCAGACCCCGGAGTCACCCAGGTCTTGGTCTCCACAGCTGGCCCTGGGTTCCTGAGCCCGGGAACTGCTGGCACACATTCTTCTCGTGCCGGGAGCTGCGCGGAGACTGCAAGGCGGAACCAGGCTGGCTTAGGAATACGGTCAGCAAGTAGGGAAAGGGGGAAAGATGCGGACAAGGAGGCAAGGGTGATGGGTGACGCTTTGTCTATTTCCCTGTCAGAATAGCGACCAGTAGAGAAAAGGAAGGTCAAAAAGTGCATTCACAGACAATATGGATTTTGCACAACAATTTCTAGTCAGTTGAGCAAGTGTGCGGTATTAAATGTTTCTAGCCAAGTTTGTCCTATTTGCAATGCGAGATTTTCACATCGCTTGCTCTCGCCCCGTTCATTCGCTCCATGCCCTAGCAGAATTCAAGGAGTTAGGGCTTGCGGGCAGGGACATCAGGGAAGGGAAAACCAGTTCAGCCACAGACTTTCTCCAAGAGCTTCCTTAGTTCCGCTGCTTTTGCAGACCCATTCCTCGGGCTCCATCCTCATTATTCTCCTCAACCTGCTCCTCTCTCCGCCCCGCGCCCTCCTGGTTCCCCCTCGCCTGTCCACCCCGATGGAGTCTCTGTGCCCCTCCTGGTCCCTTTACTGCTCACCTGTCCACCGCGATGGCCGTCATGGAGTAGATGCTGGCGAACACGGCCGTGATGGGGAAGAAGTTCTGGAAGCGGCAGTAGTTGGCGCCGAAGTACCACTCTCCGTGCAGCGCGTAGATGAAGTTGACGAGCGCGTTGAGCGCGGCCATGGCGGCGTCGGCAAAGGCCAGGTTGACGAGGAAGGAGTTGGTGACCGTTCGCATGCGCTTGTGAGCCAGCACGATCCAGATCACCACGAGGTTCCCGAGCACCGCCACGGCCACCACGGCGCCGTAGGCCAGCGACCAGAGCGCCACGCGCCAGGGCGGCTGCAGGAACGGGTGCGCGGGGCTGGCGCGCGGCGGGGGTGCCCAGGACGGGGACGGGGACGGGGACGAGGACAGGTTCCTCATCGCGGCTAGGGGCGGCCAGCCGGGGCCCGGCCACGCGCTCAGGTTCTCCGCGGGTGAGGCCATGGGGGTCCCGGAGCCCTCGGTGGAAACGGAGCTCAGCGCCGCCTGGCGGGACTCCGCAGCCCGGGGAGCCCTAGCGGTGCACAGTACTCTAGGTCCCGCCGAGCAGAACGCGGACCCGGAGCCCGGCGCGCTTTATAGTCCGGCCGCCCCCGCCCGGTGACGTGGGGTGCAGAGCCACGGCCGCGCCTCCCGCCCCGCGCCTCCTCCCTGCGCGCTCCGCTCGCCAGCTGTGTGTCCGGGTCGGTCGCAGATGCAGCCTCCTCCCGGTGCTGCTCTGTGGACCCTCCGGGTAGCCGAGGTGCCGCTCCGGGACAGCCGCTGTGCGTTCAGCTAAACCCGCGCTCCTTCGCCGAGGTCCGAGAGAGACCCGGTGCGTTTGAAGGGTGGGGTGGGCGCGCGAGCCCAGCGCTTCCCTTCTCTGGGTGTCGCGGACTGGAAATCTCAGGCAACACCCAAATCATGGCTCCTGTGTTCACACCTCAGTTCCCCCTCTGGCTCCCACTTTCACTGCCCACCCATTTTCCCTCTCTCCGGAAGACCAGTTCCCTCCACCTCATTCCCCTGTGACTTCTCCCCAAGTGTCTGCCTGGGGTGAGAGGACCTAGCAAATACCCCGAGGGACAGCAGACCCCTGGGTAAGTTTTCCTGGTACCACAGTTGGACTTAGCTCTCCATCCCGGTCGAACCTCTCCTGGAGCAACAGGCTCTTGGCTATGGGGTTCCGGAGGGAGGTTCCCCCTCTGTGTCCAGGGTTTGAATGCAAGGCTGTGGACAATAAACAGCTTCCAGGCAGAGAAAAGCACGACCTCTCAGGGGAGCCTGGCGTTTGTGGAGCGCAAGCTGGAGTAAAGAGCCTCCTCCTAGGTCGTTTCAGAAGATTATCAGGGTGCTGCAGGAGGAAGCTCTCCCTTATTACTCTCTGGGCAGGTGTATAGAGATTCGGACTTAAACATATGGCCAGCAATCTCCCAACCATACTCGAACTGTCTGAACCTCAGTTTCTTTATTTGAAAATGAAAAATATTAAAATCAGATTTACAGCATAATTATGGGTATCAGCAGCTTGAACTCATGTCCTTCAACAGCACAAGGCATGAGGGAGACCTCGATGAATATTAATGCCTTCCTAGCTACCAACGTGCATTACATCTGAACATTGTCAGATGAGAGCGAGCTGAACAGCCGAGGCAGGGTGGTAGACGGATTAAGTTGGATCCTACCAGGTAGCTGTTATATACACACAAAATAAGTGCATGAGGGACACAGTCATCCTTTGATGTTATTATTTCCTGTTTCTTCTCAGGCAAACTTATGATAATATGACAAATTATAGGTAAAGTTAATAAAGATGCCCCACTTCTGTCTTACTAACGTTAAATGAAATCATTTTATTTTGCAAGGGAGATTAATTCTTCCAACCCAGCATCTACAAATTGCTTGAGTAACAGACAAAAGCCTCTTCCTTCCCTAATGATACAAGGAGGAATTAAAGTAGAACAATTCTTGGGTATGACACACCTTTCAAAATTATGAAATGAATTATGCAGTGGCTTGGTAATTAAATACATTGTGATCAAAATTTTAAAGATGTAAATTTACTTCATTGTATAGAAATACATTAACTTTATCCGATTACTTTGCTTATAATACAGAATATGTCTGCAAGTCTGTCTTCATTAGGCTTGTATAATAAAATAACAAAATTCTGAAAGATAGGTTTAGAAACAGATATAATGAAAGAGGTTTAAAGAATTTTTTCTGTTCTGAAGAGAGTGTGGGGGTTTGTGCTTCAGATAGTGGCTTCCTTCTTGCATCTGCCTTTCTTAGACCCTTGCCAGGCCTCAGTAGGGCCCTTGCTTGCCATTTCTCAAGTGTATATTGAAAATACTTCTTTGCTTGGCTGTGACAGGTACTGGAAATGTAGCCATCAAGCAGGCAGTGGTGAGCATGGACCTCATGGTACCTGCAGTCTAGTGGTATTTTTGCCCCTAAAGCAGATGTAGAGTTAGGAGCAGGAAGGAACAGAAAAACAGATTGTTTAACAGCATAGGATGAAGCTACACCCATTGAATGATTGAATTCTCCTGATTTCTACACCCATTGATTTCCTGATTCTACACCCACTGAATTCTCCTGATTTTTTTTTGAGAAGGGAATGAAGTTTCATAAAGACAGTTACCAGAAATGTACACCTTAGAAAATGAGGTGGGCGTGGTGGGGCACTCAGGAGGATGAGGCACGAGGCAGGAGAATCGCTGCGAGATTCAGGCCAGTCTGGGCTAAAAAGTGAGTTCAAGGCCAGCCTACACTGCATAGCAAAAAGACCAGAAAAAAAAAAGTATACAAGAGAATGGCTAAGAATGGAGTTTTTAACAGAATTTGGTGAATGATCTACCTATTGCAGCTCCAGATTGTGAATCCTACTTTTATCTGATCATATGCAGATGTTTTATAGAAATTTTCCTCATCCTTTTTCTCTTACATAAGAATTCCAAAAGTCATAGTCTTGGACTACTGAAGGGAGGTGCACAGGACGTGGTAGATTCCTAGGCACTGACCTTAGAATAGGGTGCTGTACCATGGCCTTCACAACCCGGAGGATGAATATGTGCCCGTGAAGGTGCTAGGACTGAGCCCTGGACAGTAGATGGCTCTGTAGGAGATGTTAAAAGGCTTCAGACAATGGCGAGCTAAATGGGTTACACTGTGTAAGTCTAATGTGAATCAGCATCATGTATGTGAATGCTTCTTTTTTATTTCTAATAATCAAGTAAATCTAGTATACTGAGGTATAATATTTAAGTTGTATTTCTACTGAATTTTATTTGCATCTGTATTTTTGCTCTGAATACATAATGGCAGTGTGCTACAGTTATTTGTACCAACTTATAATAATTTCATGTGTGTTCATTGTTCTTTCCTCTCTTAACAACTAACAGTGTCAAGTATTTCATACTTGAATTTTTATTTTAACAGGCCTCCCCAAAATAAGCATGATAAGATAGTATTCCAGGTAATATTGCTGGCTGGTAGAGTTTTTGCAAAGAGCTTGTCTACATCCCAGATTTATGTCTCTGGTGATAACCTTCTATTTGACAGTTTTCTCATACTTTTTAGTTTACTATGTTCATTTTTACCCATTTTGTTGAGATGCTTTTCCTTATCAGTTTTAGATCCTTATTGTCTACCATTTTGACCCTTGATTTATACTCTTTTCCCTTTCTACCTCATCAGAGTTGCTTTGCAGTTACTTTGAGGCATTTCTACCCTTTGAGTGTTTGGGGTCCTAGAATCAGCTCCTGGGGAATGCTAGCTGTTAATGAATCAATACATCTCCACTTAATTGTGCACAGACTTATTCCTTAAAAATTCCTTCTGGACTCTCTCTCTCTCTCTCTGTGTGTGCCTGTAATTGGTTCCTATCTCCCAAATTTTCATCCACTCCTCACATCTTCTCCTTCTCCGTCTTCCTTCTTAGCCTTAGTAAGTCGTATTGTCTCATTCATCTGACAAAATAAAAAACAATCAGCCAAAACTTACAGCACACCCATGTTTTCATCCACATTTTCACCATTTTTATTTTCTCAGTGCTGGTCATTTGTCTTCTTCTAAGACTCTTTGTTATCTGTGCTGCTTGTTCTCTCCATCATCTCAGCGTTCAGTCTTTTGAGCCCCTTTTGTTTAGTATTGAAACACACATAAGAATCTGCATTAAAGTTTCCATTCCTAAAAAGTAAAACTATCACTATTTGCAGATGACATGATACTTTACATGGAAGACCCCAAAAACTCCACAGGAAGACTCCTTGAAGTAATCAACAAATTCAGCAGTGTAGCTGAATACAAAGTCATCACCCCAAAATCAATAGCATTCCTATACACAAACAAAAAACAGATTGAGAGAGAAATTAAGGAAACCATACTTTTCACAATAGCATCCAAGGAATTGAAATATTTAGGAATCAATCTAACAAAAGAAGTAAAAGATCTATTTAATGAAAACTACAGTACTCTGAGAAAAGAGATTGAAGAAGATTTCAGTAAATGGAAAAATATTGCTTGCTCATGGATAGGAAGAACAAACATTGTGAAAATGGCCACACTCCCAAAATTGTTGTACAGATTCAATGCATTTCCCATTGAACTACCATGAGCATACCTCACAGATCTCTAGAAAACATGCCTTAAATTCATCTGGAACCAGAAGAGGTCCAGAATAGCAAAGTAATCCTGGGCAACAAGGACAAGTCAGGTAGAATCACAATCCCTGACCTGAAATTATACTACAAAGCCACTGCAGTAAAATCAACATGGTACTGGCTAAAAAACAGACCTGAGGATCAATGAAACAGACTGGAAGAAACAGCCATGACCACAAGCACACTCAGCCACCTAATATTTGATAAAGGGGCCAAACAAACTCACTGGAAGAATGATAGCCTCTTTAATAAATGGTGCTGGAAAAATTGGCTTGCCACATGCTAAAGACTGACAATAGATCCAAGTCTATCACCATGCACCAAACTCAAGTCAAAATGGATCACAGATCTCAATATTAAAATAGAAACACTAAATCTATTGGAAGAGAAAGTAGGTAAAAACCTTGAAGACATAGGGGTAGGCAGAGAGTTCATGAACAAAAACCAAACTGCAAGTGAAACACTTCAAAGAATCAACAACTGGGATCTCATCCTACTGAAATGTCTCTGTACATCTAAAGAAATCACCAGCAGAGTAAAAAAAAAAAAAAAGCCCACACTTTGGGAAAAAATTTAGCTGACTGTCCCTCGGACAAAGGACTTTTATCTAGAACATATAAAGAATTAAAAAATATCAGCCCCCCCAATTCAAAGACCCAACCCAAAAATGGGCAACTGAGATGAATACACACTTCTCAGATAAAGAAATACAAATGGCAAATAAATACATGAGAAAATGTTCAACATCATTAGTCATTCAAAAAATTCAAATTAAAACAACACTGAGATTCCACCTTACCCCAGTAAGAATGGCTACCATTAAGAAATCAACCAATAACAAATGCTGGCGAGGCTGTGGAGAAATAGGAACCCTTCTCCACTGCTGTTGGGAAT